GTACCACTAGGCCAGTGTTCCTTTAAGACAGACCAGTTTTAAGGAACCAAATAGCCATATCATTCTCTTGCTAAGCAGCTAGTGCATTTCAACTAACTACCAAGCTCTCAATAAGCAGCTAAATATCTTAATCACTTCTCCTTCACATTACATTATCTGTGAAAACATTTAGCAGGTATTCTGTATTAATTGCTATCCAAAAAGAACTTTCCTCGACGTCTCCCTTTCTTCTTCCTCATCATTCTAACTCTCATTCCTTTAATTGAATATGAACACAGCATCTTCAGTCTTTTGCTTATTCTTTTTCTCCTTCAAGAAAACAGATTTTAGTTTCCAAGATGCAATGACCTTCAGCTACTCCTGTGATCTCTATAGCAAAGAACTAACTGAGATTTTCAATGACACATCTCATCTGTCACCAACTGCTTTCCCGTGCTTGGGGGGAGAAAAATTGGGCAGTGTTTCAGCCGATCTTTGTTTTATTCTGTTTTGATTTTCTCCCTTTTGCAGCCTTCAGCTGCTGATGTTTTCACTTAATCTGATTTTCACAAATATGTTATTATTTTTACACTATCTCATTTCAATGAGAATTTTTAAATTACTAATTGGCTCATTCACTTAGACACTGTCACGACTTTCAAAGAAATGTTACTGCATGTTGGGTCCTAACCCATTCTAAACAATTTCTACATTTTGTCAAAAGCAGCTGTTCCAAAGTTCACTTGTTTCTGCTCTATCTTTTTTCACTTTCATTTTCATCCTGATCTCGAGCACAATGAGATTGGAATCACTATTTCCAAGATGTCTCTGAACCATTCTGCCTGCAATCAGACCCCATGCATCACACACAATACCAGACTGGTATTGTTTCTCCTCCTCATTGGCCATGGACACAGGGAATGAGAAAGCAATCCTATATCAGAGCTACAAGCATGTGGCCTGTCTTATCTGGTCTGCTTCATAAAACCAGTCTATTCATAAGAAATCCAATTCTGCTGGCTACTACTAGCCACTTGGATATTTGCACACATTTTGGGGGGGGGGGAAATTACAATAATTTCCTTATTTGAGTGTTATTTCTAATTGAGTAAACCATAAAGGATGTTAGTAAAATAATTTTACTAAAATTTTCCAGTCAAATAGGACAGTTTTATTGTAAAAAAATATATTTTATCTGTCAGATGCAATACCATATATTCATAGTTTTGCATCAATTGATAATACTGAATATATTTCTCAATTAAAAAAAACAGCAAGTTATAGTATAGCTCTTCTGGCTTTTCACTAAAAATCGAGATTTTTGAGGGCCCTATCTTCCTGCAAAAAACCTAAGAATGTTCATTCGGAGGAGAGAAAAAGACAAAGGTGCTTCAGTAGGGCATGTTAGAAAAGATGAAAGTACCATCAGATCATGGAGCACAGTCTCCTCATTAAAACAATGAATTAGATATACACTAAGGAATTTGAGAAACATTCACAAAATTCTGTGAAGTGAGAAAACCATGTTTTAGACAAATATGTATTTAACCTTATATTCTGGAAAACAGTGTCAAAACTCTTTATATTTGCATGTATTTATTTACTAAAATAAGCATAATAATCGATTATTGCCATTAGCTGCAATCAAGCCAACAACTACTCAGAGAGACCATGTGCAATAAAGAGCCTTCGCCTGTCCCACACCGTCCGCACATCTCTGGCAAGCTCCAGCCTGGTTTTACAGTCACCAAGTCACTCTATGGCACTGATAGTTTTCCTCTCTTTGCTGACCCTCTACTCTTCCCAGCATGATGTCTTTTTCCAAGGACTAATCCCTTCTGACAATATACCCAAAATATGTGAGGCGAAATGTCATCATTCTTGTCTCTAAGGAGCATACATTACATATACTTTGGTTGATTATAAAATTGGGGGGAAGTATAGAAAAATACAGATGATTATTAGGAGTTCATTTATCTGACGAAGAGCAATCCATATAAAAGAAAAATATTAGGAAGGAAAGATCAAAAATTCACTGCCAGTTGAGTCAATTTCAAATCATAGACTATAAATCTTTATGGGAGGAAACTGCCCCTCTTCCCCCAAAGAAATGTCTGTCTGGTAGATTTGAACTGACAGCCTTACATGGCAGCTAGCAACTATGTAAATCCCAAATATTACATTTATGAAAAATGGTGTGTTATTTGTATGTTAACGTTAGGAGTGTCATAAGTGAATGGTTACCAAAATATTAATGCTGCCACATCAGAAAGGTAAAATCTACTTTCTTGCTTACACTGTTCTTGTTTTCTTTAATAGTTTTTTTTTTCCTGATGAGCATATGATAGGTAATTATTTGGGGCAGGGGGGCAGGGTAGGGAAGGTACAACACACTAAAGTGATATACATGGTGGATGAAAAGGAAAAGCAATGAAAGAGTTTTCTGTAATCATCATGAAGAGCCCCGTCTAGTACTGAGCTTATCCTTCCTATTTGCAATATTCTATTTAAGATGTGCCCACCTGGAAAGGAAAAACGGAAGTGCAAGATTTGCCCTTCAAAGCTTTGGTAGGAATTTCTAGCTGGTGTTTGATGGCAGCAGAGCTGTTGGGACTGTTCTCAACTTAACTTTTGGCAAAATCAATCACTATTAGCACATCCTTCTATGTGAACAAGATAAAGTAAAGGGATAGAATTAATCTTACTCAAGGCTATGATTGGGAGCAATTTCCTGTATGTTCCATAGCTGACTGCAGGACTCACATGGGCTAGTGCTACACCCTGGGTATAGATCCTGGTTCCAACACTTACAAGTGTTAGCTCCTTTATATGTAAAAAAGACATACTAAGAGCTTAGTTTAGATGGCAGACTTTCCCAACCCAATACATCTTTTGATTGCTTGTCTGCTGGTGCCAAGAGTATTGATTGTGGATCTAAGCAAGATGAAAGTGTTGACAACTTCAATCTTTCCTCCAGCAGATGACACAACCCTGCTTGCTGAAACTGAGGAGGACCTGACTTGGCACATTTGCTGCAGAAGGTCAAGGACTGCAGCCTTCAATATGGATTGAGGCTCAACATCAAGAAAACAATGATTCTCACCACTGGGACAACTGGCAGAATCATGATAGATGGTGAAGAGATTGAGATTGTTAACAGCTTTAGTAAACTTGGTTCCACAATCAATACTCTTGATACTAGCAGCCAGAAAATTAAAAGATAAATTGCATTGGGAAAGTCTGCTGTCAGGGCCCTAGCCAGACTACTGAAGAGCAACAATGTTAGTCTGGATACTAAGGGGCACCTGATCCAGACCACAGTCTTTGTAATTACTTACTATGCATCAGAAAGCTTGACAGTGACTAGGAATGATAGAAAGAAAATGCATGCCTTTGAGCTGTGGTGCTGGAGAAGAGTGTTGAATATACCAAGGACTGCTGGGGGGAAAACAGGTTCATCCTAGAGTGGGTGAGACAAGGCTGCTCCTTGGAGCAAGGATTCTGAAGCTTCATCTGACATACTTTGGGCATGTTGCTAGTAGAGACCAGTCCTTGGAGACGGACATCATCCTTGGGAGGATGGAAAGACAGTGCAAGAAAAGAAAACCCTGGATGAGATGGATTTATTCAGTGACTGGGGTAATGGGGTTAGGTGTGTCAGAGGCAATAAGGTTGGCACAGGATAGAGCAGAGTTCACAGCTGTTGTATAGAGGGTCGCTATGAGTCACAAGTAACCTGATGGCACATAACAACAACAATATAATGATGTTGCCTATAGGCCTAGTAATGAAAGTTGTCGTCATCTTGATGTTAAAATGCAATCTACATTGAAGGCTGTAGCCTTTGATCTTCTGGAGCAAGAGTTTCAAGTTCTCTTCATTTAAAGCAAGCAAGGTCATGTGGCCTGCATAATGCAGGTTGTTGATGAGTTTGCCTCTCGAAAATCTACAAACTTGGAGAAACGATGAAAGTTATACAAGTGTTCAGGTCTTTCAATCATAGGATCGCTATGAGTCGCCTATGACTCGACAGCACTAAACAACAACAACATACTGATGCCACATTCTTCTTCACAGAGTCCAGCTTCTCAAACGATTTGCTCACCATTCAGATTGAATATGTATGGCAAAAGGATACAGCCCTGAAACACATCATTCTTGATTTTAAACTATTTCATGTTCCCTTGCTCTGTTTAGACAAGAGCTTCTTGGGCTAGGCTTAGATGATTATGATTAAGTATTGTAAGATTCTCATTTTTCTCAGTGTTAACCATAGTTTGTTATGATCCAAGCATAGATATTCTTCTGGTACTCAGTGATTTTGAAACTAGAAAAATAGAAGAATAACCCTTCTGAAAAATAGAAGGATAACCAGTAATATGTGTTTAAAGTCCAAAGTCCAAAGGGCAGGAGAGCAAGGGAATGAGTGTGAGGAGGCGGAAAAGTATGGGGTTTCAGAGTTTGGTGGGTGGAGGGAGGGGGTAAAGGAATTAGGAAAGATCCAGTTGGGACCTGAAAAGAAGGATGATAGTGGGCATAGACCATGGTGATTAATTTTATAAAACACAATGAATGTATGGAAGTAATCATATGAAACATAGTATGAATGAAGGGATGTAAGAAGCACAATGTACATGAATGAAACAAAATGTATAAGAAAATCACATTCAATTAAAAAAATTAAGATAAAGATTATCCTGATTTAGCTGGTGAGAAAATACAGTTACATTCTTGAAGGAATTGTAAGAAGCAATGTTCAGATATGAGACTTTGCATGTTGTTGTTGGTGTTGTTATGTACCATCAAGTCTCTTGAGACTCATAGTGACCGTATATACAGCAGCTCTGAACCCTGCCCTAACCTGAGCCAATCTCACTGTTTCTGACACATCTACTCCATTACCCCTGTTATTGTGTCAATCCACCTCCTTCTGCTTGTGCTGTCCCTCCATCCTTCCAAGTGTTATGTTCTTCTCTAAGGACTGGTCTCTCTCAAAGACTTGACTGCTCCTTTCTGGCAACATGCCTAACGTATGTCACATGGAGCCTCAAAATCCTTGCTTCTAAGGAACATTTTGGTTTCTCTCTGTCCACAAAAACCTGTTTGTTCTTTTGGCAGGCCATGGTATATTTAATACTCTTCTCCAACACCACAATTCAAAAACATCAATTCTTTTGTTATTTTTATTCATTGTCCAGCTCTCTGATGCATAGCAAGTAATTGCAAAAACCATAGGTTGGCTCAGGTATGCCTTAGTCACTAGACTACCATCTTTGCTCTTTCGCACTCTAGAGAGATCTCTTAAATCAGATTTTCCTAATACAATTATTACTCTTTTGATTTCCTGATTTATGGTGCCAAGAATGTTGATTGTAGAGCCTGGCAAGCTGTAACTGCTAACAATCTCAATCTCTTCCCCATCTATCATGATGCTGCTAATTGGTTTTCTTGATGTTGCATTTCAATCTGTATTAAAGACTGCACTTCTTGACCTTAGCAGAAAATGCTTCAAGTCCTCCTCAGTTTCAACAAGCAATATTATGTCATCTGTGTAATGGACATTGTTGATGAGCCTTCCTCCCGTCTTGATTCCACATTTCTTCTCATAAAGTCCAGCCTCCTGAATGATCTGTTCTGCATATAGATGGGAAAGTATGGAGACAGGACGCATCTCTAATGCACTCCTTTGCTGATTTTGAACCATGCATTGTTTCCTCGCTCTGTTCTGATGACTACTTCTTGATCCAAGTATAGATTTCTCATAAACACAATCAGGTGTTCTGGGATTCCCATTCTTCTTAATGTTAACCACAATTTCTTGTGATCCACATGGACAAATGCTTTTGCATAGTCAATGAAACACAGATAGACATTCCCTTGGTACTCTCTTGAACTCAGCCAAGATCTATTTGACATTAGTAATGATGTCTCTAGTGCCACAACCTCTTCTAAACCCAGTTTGTATTTCTGATAGTTCTCTATCAATGTATTGTCCCACTTGTTTGTTTGTTTTAATAATCTTCAGCATCATTTTGCTTGCATGTGATATTAGTGATATTGTCTGATAATCTCAGCATTTTTTCAAAAATGGGAATAAATATGGAATTTTTCTTTCTAGCCAGTTGCCAGGTAGTTCTCCTCCAGATTTCTTGCGACAGCCTGATGAACATGTTTTGGGGTGCATCTTTTTGCTGGAATATATCAGTTGTTATTCTATCAATTTCTGTAGCCTTGTTTTTTGCTATTTCCTTCATAGCTGCTTGAACTTTGCATATATGCTTTAAGGTAGTTGCTGATAAACAAAAAGACTAAGGACCAGATTTGTGTTCTTTTGAATAAGACTATGATCATCATACAAGAACAGCAAAAGCTAACAGACCTACAGGTATCACCAGTGACTAAAGAAGAAAAAACTTTGGAAAAGCAATTAAAATCTTCCATGCCAAACTCATGAAGAAATGGACTTGCAAAAAGACCTCTACCAGAGTTCAACAGCAGAATAATTTGGGAACATTTCTTTTTGACACTCATTGATTCAGTAGGGGGCTGTTGAGGTTTGAGGTGGATGACTGGATAGTGATCCCTTTAAGAGGAGAGAGAAATGGTAAGGTGAAAGGCAGATATTATGTGAGTAAAATTCAGCCAAAAACAAGAATGAGGAATAAAGAATTGTAAAACATTTTTTAAAAAAGGATAAAGGAGAAAGAAAACACCAAAATGGATGTCAGAGAAGACTCTGAAAATGACAGTAGAAAGTACAGCGGTCAAATTAAAGGGAAGAAATGCTAAAGAAAAAGAGATGAACAGAAGATTTCAAAGGTCAGCTCAAGAAGACAAAGCTAAATACAATAATGAAATGTACAAAAAACTGGACTTAGAAAATCAAAAGGGAAAGACATGCTCACCACCTTCCAGGAAAAGAAGTTGTATATGACAGTTGTACTTACCAACTTTAAATTGAAGTCATACTGACTGCATCATAAGAGACTGACAGCAGCATGGTACGGTCAGAATCAAAGACTTAAGCCATCACATCAGGGGCTGGTCCATGGGAGACAGGTGTTGAATGTTGTAGGCAAAGTAGGAAGGGTTGGTGGTGGAGTAGGGAAAGGGCGGGGGGGGAACCAAACACACACACACACACACCCCACCAAAAAAACCCCAACAAACCAAACATGTAGCAGGGTGAGCAGCAACATTGAATATTGGTCTTTTTCTAATTGCTAAATGTCTTTAATCTGCTCTTTTCTGTAGAATGCTTGTATGTCAGATACTATTATATATATTTAAAAATTGAGACAGACTAGGAAGAAGGATTGGCCATCCACTTCCAAAATTACAGGCCTTCGAAAA